GGCGGCGAGGACCCCAACCAGAGAGAATTGATCGTAAAAACAGACGCAGTGTCAATAGCATTGTAGGCCAGCCACCCAACAAAGTGTCTCACCAGTTCAAAATCCCAGGCTGAGCTCAATTTGCCATCCCATCCACGGTAAGCGGGGCTTGTGAATGGACGAAGCAGATTAATGGCCCATGCAAAGAGAGTGATGCCAAAACCGACCCACATTGCAACTGACCTTGTCCATGCCTCTTCAACGATTTGACGAGCTTCACCCCATGCTTGAACTGTACCAGGGACCGCAGCTGCCAGTAAGCTGAGTAAGGCATGATGACAGATAGTGAAGGCAAGGCGCCTGGGAGACAATGTYGCCATCAGTAATGARACCTGCARAATGTCATGGACAACTAGAGTAATGATATACCGGATAAGTTGGATAACCATGATCTCTCTGGGACATCACAAAAGCGCTGCTCCAGGATCACTCCATGTTTTATACAAGAAAGAAAGGCGGACGCAGCATGTTTTTGAAACCCTAAAGGCAAAAAAAACTTGCGTCAGCAGAGAAACCACGCGCCGACTCAAAATGAGAGATTTCGGTCCAAAAGTATCCATTGGGCATTTTCTTCTTTTTTTTGTTCCCCCCCCTCTGACACCAAGGCTGACCCCTGTAAGTATGACACCCGCTGGTCTGACACCACAACCGTCGGTACTACCGTTGCCTTTTCGAGCTTGGCGCAGTTTTCTTTGCCGACGCATGTTTTTTTTGCCCATTCGATGCTCAAAGGTGACATGAACGTACTTACCCCTTTATACAATTAGGCAGATGGCAGCAGGTAGCAACAATGGTCGTCAATGACGGCAGGAGTTTGATTGTCGGGACTAGGATTGTGTTGTGATGTGATTCCCTCTTCAGATTTTGACACTTTGGAAGCTTAAGAATCTGTACTATGTGCCGTGCTTTCTTATTCACAATAGAAGCAGCTCAGTGCAGGGGCAAGAAGCCTTGAAACACAAGATATTACATTCCTCATCGCAGATAATGAAATACTGTGCAGGTATTTCATTATTTGCGATGAGGAAATTATGTATTTTGTGTTTCAAGATGGTGACCAA